TTTTAGCTTTAAGTTGAGCTTTAAAGATATTCACAAAATGAACACAAACACCACGTGAGAGAACCTCACTGCGATCAGTATAAACCACAAACTTAGCTATACACGAACACAAGCGTAACAATCTAAGGTGATTCAAATGGGGTAAAAACCAACCAAAGCCAACTGTTCGTTTTCATGGTCCATTAAGCTACGAACTAAAACTATCTTCAACAAACTAAAAACTACATACCACGTATCCTGTACTCTGGAACAAATAAGCAGGAGTTTCTCGATCCACACCACAGAAGGAACATAATGAAACATATAAACCAACTTAACATCGGTGGTCACAGCATGATGACAAATAAGATAATCTAAGTTACAATACCGATAACCAACAAAAGAACCAAAACAACCTTTCCAAATAGACAGCCAATCAGAAGCAGGTACGACACCTCTCCAAAACTGATGCGGTTCATGGGGGGGAATTATACTGTAAAGCAATAAATATCTTTCGCAAGGAAAGACCCTGAAATAAAGTAAAATCCAAACCATTATTACGTGTGGGGAAGCTTCCTCCGGAAGATAATCGAGATAATAAGTAAGATTAAGATTGTCCAACAAACTCCTTAGTGAGATCACTTTTTTTTTTTATTCCTGTAAACTCCCAGTGGAGCATAGGGCCGCAACAACACATCGCGAACAGAAGGTGTTGTTGCAGTTACTTGTAGCAAGTTGTTTTTTACGGGGTGGAGTTGCTAGCCCCGCGCCCAACCCTCCTCCTTTCTCATCCTGGGACCAGGCAAAGGCGGAGGTTGTCATGTTTGGTGTGACAGGGATTCGAACCCGCGACCCTCAGATTACGAGTCGAGCGCCTAACCACCGGGCCATGCCGGCCCTAGTGAGATCATTAACCATACTAAATTCGTCATGCAACTAACACAACACTGGTCGGAACACTATTTATATAAGCTAGTTGATACAACAACAATTGTTATGGTGTGTATGTAATTTACAAGCTGATGGAGAATAATTACAAAGTATACTTGTCTCAGGACATTAATGTTAAGCCTATTACATTTTTCGACAATGTATTATTTATCTAGTTCATTGGTATATTATATATATTATTGGTATCAATGCTGTGTTTCACTAATACAAAACTTCTATTCAGATGCTAAAATGTTTACTAATGTTGATACGTGAATGATATATTAAAAATAACAAAACTTTGGTTCTTTTCTTTAATTATCATGTTCTCCTTAAAAATCCTAAAACAATAATTATATATGTTTATGTCTTAATCTAAAGTATAAATGTGATCCGAACTAGGCTGTTTTATACATATAATCATGATCCAAACTAGGCTGTTTTATACATATAGTCATGATCCAAACCAGGCTGTTTTATATATATAGTCATGATCCAAACCAGACTGATGTATGTGCATAAAAATTACTTAAACTAGGCTGTTTTATATGTATAAATTTGATCCAAACTAGGTTTTTTATATGTATAAACTTGACCCAGAATAGGCCGTTTTATACATATAATCATGATCCAAACTAGGCTGTTTTATATATATAGTCATGATACAAACCAGGCTGTTTTATACATATATAATCATGATCCAAACTAGGCTGGTTTATACATATAATCATGATCCAAACTAGGCTGTTTTATATATATAGTCATGATCCAAACCAGGCTGTTTTATGTGTATACTCATGATCCAAACTAGGCTGATGTATGTGCATAAAAATTACTTAAACTAGGTTTTTTTATATGTATAAATTTGATCCAAACTAGGTTTTTAACATATATAAACTTTATCCAAACTAGGTTTTTTTATATGTATAAAACTGATCCAAAATAAGTTTTTATATGTATAAACTTAATATAGGTTGGGTTTTTTTCTAAGATATTTAAATGCACGTAAATAGATTATCTGTTTTTCATTTCAATAAAATTTTCTTTTACAATATATGTATTTATACAATACTTTGTTTATTTGTTGAACTTCTACGTAATTTGAGTATCCTGAAGTTAACAACGTAAAAAAAATAGTCAGTGAACAAAAACTTTATTTTTTTTTCGTGTTTTGTTAGAAAAGACACGTTAACGTCTATTCTCGTTCGCAGAAACCAGTCTTCATAAATAAACAGGCCAAACCTGTGCGGCTGGATGTGGAGGTAAAGTTACAACATCTTTAGTTACAACTCTCGTAACGTGATTTGAGAACTAAACAACCACAAACAGACTGGGAATGAATCTTTTACTAACATTCAGCAAATACAACATCATGTTATACTGATACATACATGAAACATGTACAGTAGTCCATACACTAAACACATTATATTAACACACACACACGTGTACTGACAAACATACACTGAATACACACATAAACATGTTGTCGTACATTAACGTACACACTAAATACATTATATTAACACACACACACATGAAATGTCAGGTACTAACAAACATACACTGAATACACACATAAACATGTTGTCGTATATTAATGTACACGCTAAACACATTATATTAACACACACACACATGTACTAACAAACATACACTGAATACACACATAAACATGTTGTCGTACATTAACACACACACTAAACACATTATATTAACACACACACATGTACTAACAAACATACAATGAATACACACATAAACATGTTGTCGTACATTAACGTACACACTAAACACATTATATTAACACACACATGAAACACGTTGTCATACATTAACATACACACTAAACACATTATATTAACACACACACGTGTACTAACAAACATACACTGAATACACACATAAACATGTTGTCGTATATTAACGTACACACTAAACACATGATATTAACACACACATGAAACACGTTGTCATACATTAACACACACACTAAACCATTATATTAACACACACATCAAACATGTTGTCGTACATTAACACACACACACTAAACCATTATATTAACACACATGAAACACGTTGTCATACATTAACACACACACTAAACCATTATATGAACACACATGAAACATGCTGTCATACATTAACACATACACTAAACACATTATATTATACTAACACACACACTAACCACATTATATTATACTAACACACACACACACTAAACATATTATATTAACACACACATAAAACACGTTTTCTTACATTAACACACACACTAAACACATTATATTAACACACACATAAAACACGTTGTCTTACATTAACACACATACTAACACATTATTCTGTATTAACACACATCAAACACGTTGTGGTACATTAACACACACACTAAACACATTATATTAACACACACATAAAACACGTTGTCATACATTAACCCACATATTAACACATTATCCTGTATTAATACACA